TTTGTTTATGTATCTACGTATGTATCTATTTTTTTGTAAATCTTTTAACAATTTGATTGTAAATATTTCACAAATATTATAATTTTGTAATAATTAATCTAAATATTTTAATAACAAAATTATCGTCACTAGAATGCGAGCTTAAATTAATGGATATTTTAAATCATAAATAACTCTGATTGTTTAATAAAAAAATTAAAAATTCTTTCGTACATTGCTAACTTACTTTATACTTACTATATATATATACATACAATATTCGTAATGGGTTGAATGATATTTAAAAAAAAAAAAAAAAATAAGATAGTGAATAATTGCGATTACTGAGCCAAAAATGACAACAAAAGAAAAGAGGATTTACATTCTTTTGTTAAATCTGCAAATATAATGAGAAATTTAGGTATTATTATTAATATTAATTGATTGTTGAACTGCTGTATGAAAGCTTTGGAAATTTTTATTTCAATGATACCTGAAAATAATGGCGACTGTCAAGGTACTAGAACAGGTTTTTACTATATTTTGTGATTTCTATGAACAATTAAATTATTCTTCGGAAGTAAAACGCATGTTTACACTAGTTTAGAATACGTTTTTTAAATATTACATCTTTCATTTTTTTTACTTTTAAGTTTTCAAATCCAGTACGTTTTTGAATAAGAGTTATCGATGTAATATATATTGTTTATTATACCTAAATATGACTTAAGCTCCCATGATAATTCAAATAATTAAAATTATAAATTTATGATTTAAGTTAATGTGATATTTTTGTTCATTATTTAGATTTCGTAACTAATTTTACAGTGCCAATAGTGTACTGCCTAACCAACATAAACTCACTAAACGGAAAACATTTTTTATATACTTTGAGGTCCTCCCCCATATAGCTACACTCATTATGAACACACAATAATTGCGCAACATACATTAGTTACCATCCAACACTCACGGTCGTACCAAATTATTGGCGATTGCTGAAATTTCAAAATATGATAATAGTATATACAAAATATTTTTGTGTAGAGATATACCTGTTATTAAATACCGTTTAATTATTATTTCCCAGTTCAAGTAATCCAATTGGTTCATACGGCACAACAGAACCGATCAAATATATCCATAAAACCTTTCAGTTAAAAATTATTTTACGTGATATAAATTTATTAATATAATAATTAAAATTTGAACATTGTGCGTGATAAACGGGATAATGTTTGGACAGCAATAATTAATGCAACCGGTATTATTTAATATTTTTCAGAAGAATTAAAATTCTTTCAATAGAAAAAATTATTTTTATTAAAATCAAATGCGTTCGAAAATATTTGGATTCCTAGTGTAATTTATGTTATTTTAAACACTCGAATGCTCCTCATCGATCAATCATTTAGCGTATCGGGTAATTTTGAAAAAATAATTATTTACGCGAATCTTCGAGCGGTATTGGTCTAAAATGAACGTGTTCTTGTGCACGAGAATATCCTTAAAAACTCATCGTTGTGCTTAGACCATGAAGTATTTTCGAACGCACAGACGTTTGTTATGCCATTGATTTTATTATAACATTGCCGATGCAATATGGCTACAACTTGTTTGCGCACATTTACCTTTTTTACAACTTGTTTGCACAAAAATGCACAACTCGATTGCGCACATATATTTTGGCTACCTGTGGCGAAAATCTCTAATGCCAGAACTCGTTTGCTTATTATCATTGATTATTATACTCCTCATTTATTAACAATAAAACTCGCAGGACATTTTTTATTGTGCATCTAAAATTTGAATATCCACTCATTAAAACACGGTATTCACTAAATTTATAATTATCAATATTAAAACATCGTTTTCCTCACCGAGGTTCAAAAGTATTAGAAATGTCTACGCCCTATTAAAGTTTACGTCGTCAACACACTAGTCACCACTGCACCGTGCATATCCATAGTTCCATACCTACTGAAACTTTACTGAAAGTTGTTTGGAAAATCCAAATTTATATATTCTACAGTCTACACAGTCGATTATAAGATAATATTAAGATAATATATTTGATAATTTGTACTGCAGTCTGTGACGATATATGTAAGCACGTGGCATGTGTTGAAAGTGTCGTTGTGCGCAAAAGAGTTATTTATTCTTAGATAAACAACTGATATCGTAATGCGCAAACGAGTTGCAGCGATGCAATCATTTTTCTGCAAGAAAAAAGGTACTTCGTTTAAAAAATATATGCATCATAAATTGCATAACGCACGATTTCGTATTTTGTTTTTCAATACCGTCTAGCCGATTACAGGTCGTGGAATTCGTATAACAAAATGAGTATGAAATACTAAACACTTCGCGATGAAGGTTTGAATTCGGTACCTAGACGCGTTATATCCTAAACACTCGATTCGCTCACCATATTATATTTATTTAATTTTAATTTTGGTTTCATACAATGAAATACTGGGTCATATTATAGAATTTGGTTCGCTTGTTTTTCCCATTCTTTTACGTGTATTACGTTCTCTGCACGACCATGTCCGAGGGTATACGTTTCACAACGCACGGACCGTCCTTAAAACACCGACGTGTTTATTATTATCGCGTTTTGTTCACCTATTCCTAAATTGTCACAGCGCGGCGTTACACCGCGTGCGCACGTGATAAACATTTGATTTGTTTCCGACGTATCGGAAAACTATGGTACTGGTCGTACTATTATGGTTTAGCTGGCACTGAATTGCGTTTTCGTGTACACAATTATATTCCTATGGCTTTGTTGTGCTTATCAATTGTAAATTGATGAAAAAATAATCCGAGTGAGACGCTCTAAAGTGGGGACAAAATAGTATCAAACGCATGTGCACACAAAATGAGAGAGAGAGAGATAGAGCATGTGATAGAGTTATCGGATAACATTCACCACCGGCGATATCTCCTACCATATGTCCCAATCATAGCATAGATATAATTTTATGTGTATCCGTCGGGCTGACTTTAGTAACAGTTTACTCATGATTCACGATAGAATCCTGCGTTTTTGACAAATAATCAATAAAGGTAAAGAGTAAGGTTAAAAACATGATCTCTTATCCGATTAAAACGCGCGCGCGCGCACACACTCACAATGCGTAAATAATTGGCTTCAGCTGTGCGTATAAGGAGCCTAGACATTTAGACAACGTACTTGTTCGTGAAGTCATGCAGCGGTAATGTTATAAACAGGTGTACTGTATAGACAACGTTTGTACAATACAGATCGCAGTGTGTATCGGTATGGACAGAAAAAAAATAAATATTATCCGTTGTTGTTATCCTTCGACGTTTCTCTGCAGGATGAAGAAATGTTCGAGACGGGGGGTGTTGACAACACGATTTTCAGTTGGGTTGTTAAACGTATTGAATTTATAGTTAATTATCGATTAATTTAGTTCGTGGTAGGTACTGCTTATTTATTATACCATTTTTAAATTGATTGGATATTGCAGTGTACGGTCATAAGTGTGCGCAGACCTATATTTCAGGAGGTGCCTACAATACTTGTGGGCCCTATCTTAACAAAATGTATCGACACATTTGATAAATTATAATATTTAAATTAATAATTAATAAAATAATTAAGAAATAAATACAATATAAATAAAATAATAAAATAAATGTATATTTTATAGTAATTAAATAAACATAACATTAACTTTTTATTTAATATTGTGGTATATTAGTCTCAACAGATATGTATTTCTTGAATCTCATATATTTTTCATAGATAGCTTTAATTATTTATGATTTGTACTTTTGCAGTCAATTTTAGCTGTTATATTATAATAAGTTTTTGCACAAATATTTAGAAAATTTGGTTTTATTTTTTCCATTGTAAAACATCAATTATTTTTTACCAAATAATTTTGAATAAATTACATTTGATCTGAGAAATATTAGTTAAAATATGGGCCCTTTACTCTTGGACTTAAATTGTGGCACCTCATTTACAAAATTTTCGGGGAGGGGGTATTGGTACCCAGGCTCACCCGGCACCCCCCGTGTGCGCACCTATGTATTCAGTGTGATAATATACTCTAGTTTTTCCTTAAATTATAAGTCTATTTAACATTATCGAAGATCAAATGTTGTGTAGTGAATAAGAAAATCTGGTATTTTCGTATGATAATATATGTGCAAATTAATTGATTATTCGAAATGCGTTCTACGCAATATGAAGTGAATTAAACGAACGGATATTTTTTAGTTACAATATCGTATAGCTAATTTTCTTCTTCTCGTAAAAAGTGAAATACCGGAAATTCAGTATTTGTCTGAATAAAGAGAAATATGATCTTTCATTTTTATTTGATTTATTTTTGAATAAAAAAAAAAAACATGCGTAAAGTAATTTATATACACGAATACTTGTAGACTTTTACATTTTTAACCAAGCTTTTTATTTTTTTCTAAATAAAATAAATAACATTTTAAATAACATAAAAATCCATAATATAATAATAACGGAACTAAAATAGTTTAAGAATATAAACACTAATACAAACATTTAATACGGCTATTTAATTAAGTTGTTTATTTTATGTTAACAGTATATAATTCATGTCTATAAAATCTGGCGTATCTACTATCTAGTTTACTACTTCACACCATATAAAATAAAAGCTATTAAATAACATAATAAACCAAAAGTATTATTTCATTTCCATCAGTTTTATTTGTTTTTAGTAGCTTTTTTTTATACGTCAGTGAACTACATATTATTTTCTTACTATACAAATACTTAAATTTAAACTTACTATTTACCATGTATAACTATTAGGTATATACTAATATAATACAATAAATTATATGAAATGTAAATCTTGTATGAAATGGTTAAGTACATTTTTCACTAATTTTAACTACTTGAACCCCCGATGTTCAATAGAAATTATTTACTATTCATATGGTGTCCCGACAATTACACGACTGATATTGAGCAAAGGTTATAATTTTTTTTTTTTTATTAGGTTAAACGTCTCGGATCCCGGTTCATCCTTATCTTGGTAAGTTAACTGTTGTCCATTTTTTTAAGTTTAATTTTTATTCGTACAACAGTGCAACACATTTTGTAGTTACTCGTAGTCGTTAGTCGTCAGGTTTGTAAACCATTTATATCGTAAGATAGTTATACAAAAAAAAAAAAAAAAATGCCACGCATTTAAATTTCTTAATAACAAAAAAATTTAAATATGATGATTAATTTTAATCATTAGAATATTGGTGGTAGGTACTTAATTGCTCAAAATATTTTATGTATTTATTATTTATTTAATTTATATTATGTGCTATAGTAATTCTTATTATATTAATATTAGGTATTATAATTCATATGAATTCAATATAAGTATTATCAAATAATAGCCTAACCTATATTCACACATATTTATTGCTTAAAAATATTATGCTCAGAGGCAACGAGTACTGTTAGTATTAGAAGTATAGAAATAATGCAATAATTAAAATAAATAACGGTTATGTTAAATTGTGTTCATAATAAGACATTAAGAATACTTGTAATTTAAAAAAAAAATTTACAGTAGCGAATTACTCAGAAACAATTAATCTGATCGTTTATTTCATTAGATTCCATTACAATTCAGTTGATCTATGCACAAAAACTAAACTATAATGTATTTAACGTACTATATTTCTGAATAACAAGTGAAATCTAAAAAAAATATGTAAGAATGTAAGTTATCTGAGGAAACGTTAAAAAAGAATAATTTCCAGAGTTCAGGACAATAAATTATATTATTCACTAGCCCACGTGTATCTGCAGCAAATGTCAAGAACTCGGTTTCGTCCAACTATACTACAAATTGTATAATTAAAATCGGATGCAACTACGTTTAAATGGGCACATATCATTAGGTACCAAGTTTTCCTATTTTTAAGACCAACATATGTAAGAACTCTGTCCTTGCAATTGTTCAACTTTATAATATATAAATATAAATATTTATAATATATACTATATAAATATGCTTGAAAAAGGGAACAAATAACAGAAGCGTATTTATTAATCCATATAGAATGAACTGAAGCATAACATAGTTAATGTACGCGTACAGATACTAAGCAAGTAAATACGTAATCATATTTTGAGCGAGGGTATGAAAAAATGTCATTCTCTCCGTATAAAACTTTAAAACCTCTCACAACAACGAATATTTTCAAATACAATTTTCATAGATTAAAGTTGAAAAAAAAACATTTATTTCTCATTACATTTCTAGAGCGTTTTATTTATATTTCAATCGTAAAAGATTAGGATATTAATGGACGGAAAAAATTTCGTGGGTGCCGGGGAGGTGATGTCGGACCCCGTGAACTCCCTCCTCTCATGGATGACATGCTTGCATTAGGAACTCGCGAACTATGAGCTGGCCGATGAAATTTTTTAAAACGGATCCACCTACCTATATTCGTCATCAGACGAAGTTATTTCACGAGCGGTTTCACGTGGTTAACTGCCGCGGACAATATGCGAATATGAATATCATGACATCATGAACATGCCCAGACGTTTTTAGCAGATCGTGCACAATACAAATTTTGAAATGCGAAACTGAGTTACCGAAAGGAAAAGGAAATACGATCTAAAAATTATGAAAAAATCATTGTTACCTTGTAATATGAATTAAAATACACATTTTCTTAATTCCTACTAAAATTCTGAATTTGTTGGATTCATAACTTAAAATTAATATTAATTGATAATGCCATTAAAGTCCAACTGAACAAACACCAATTGGAGACCCCTTAAAAAAAAATATATTTTGTAAAAGTAATTTGTTTTAAAATTTTTACGCGCCATTTTCAGATATACGTTTAGACATTTCGATTTATGAATTCTCTATTAAATGTTTGTTGAACAAAATACAACGGAAAATTATAAAATTAACACAAAAAATGACGAAACAGGCAACTGTCAATTCTAGATTTTGGTTTCAGAGGTCTCTGGGAGCTCGGAAACTCTGGCGCACCGCACCCCCTACACCCCCGCTAAATCTAACAGAAACGTAACGGTAAGCACTAAGGCGAACGTACCGCCGATAGCCCATACTGTTGTACGTAACGCTGTGCAACTATGTGGAACCTGTGGCGTCGAATCTCACGTTCGTGTACGGCGGTCGCCATGCAAATACGATTTTATTTCGGGAGTGGGTATTCTGTGGTCGGGACACTAAGAAATGAATTTGTAGCCCGCCAAAGAATATTCCTGGGGAAAATGTCGAACATCAGGTGAAGAAAACACGTTTTGATTGGTACCCGCCTGATATCCGATAGGCGTACTGTGCCTATCTCGGCGAATAAATCGTTTGCATTCGGTCGAACGTTTCTAAACTTTCGGTTGACGGTCGCTGGTGATTAGGTGACTCTATAAATATGTAGGTTTCGGCGCCGCCGGGTGGAAGAACGTCATCCCAGCGCCAGCCTACGGTTTTCGGCCGACGACGGGAAAACCGAGACCGTGCGGATTTGGGAAACACGCGCCAAACGTTGGAAAATTCCACACGGGCCGCACGGGACAATGGCGCGCGCGGTCCATCGAGCGCACAAAGACCGACGGAGCCGTCGATAATTATACGTCGTCGCGGCGCGTACCCGGTCACGTGGTAGCGTACGCTTGTACACGTCCGGGCGCGCATGTGCAACGAAAACACCGGTCCCCCCGGGGCGCTGGCCACGACCGGTAATCGCAATCGGTTTTTTATCGGTGTTTCCAGAACTGTCCGAAAAAACTCACTTCTTGCACTTCACCCCTCGACCGTTCACACACGCGGCGCGCGTCAATTCGTTACTCTCTCTCTTCCCCTGCCCCGTACACCGCCACTGATGCATCTTTCGATCCTCGACCGGACGTTGACGTGCGCGCTCAACAAATACATTCGTTCACGAACGTCTAAAGGACAGCCCACGAGCAAATTCTTCATCGATTATCGATTAACGTGATTTCTTATCAATTATCATATATGTATCAAATAACCCAATAGTATGCATTACTAAATATCATCTACACGAACGTACAAAAAAAAAATAATAAATAAAATAATATAAAAAATTGCAATATAAATGTAGTTTAAAATAATTAAAAATATTGTTTTCGAAATAATAATAATAACAATAAGTATATAAATGTAGGTAGCATAATGTAAATAGCAAATTATATGTCTTATTTTCCATATGCATGGTCAAACCGCAGAATAGATTAAAATATCTGGGACCCATATATTTCGTTCGAGTCATCTATTATTTGTTTTCTTACGTTTAGTATTGGTATATTTAGTCATTGTACTTCCGGTATTTTGAAACGAAGTTTTTTGGATGAAAAAAAAATCGCAACTATTTTTTCACATATTAATTGGCTGGTTCTTACATTTTAATTTAATGAAACAGGAATATTAGATTCTTGTTCATTAAGCATTTTTAAATTTGAGTCTTGTGACAAATTGATTTTACGTAGTTGTCCATCGTTTAATTTATCTGCTTGTGATACAAGCGTTTGAATTAATAAGCCAAAATAAATTGAGTTTTATACCAACATTTTTATTGCAATACGCGCCCTCAAACATAACACGATATTTGATAAGAAATTACGATATGATAATTGATAAGCAATTTGCTCGTCGGGCTGCTTCCGGACGCTCGTCATTCGTTTGGCGCGTTCCGATCGTTTACCGGCGGTCACGTGCAATAATTATACGTACACGGCCGCCGACAGTCGATGATGAACATCGTGTGTTACGAATGCGCGGATTAACGGGTTCGGGATTCGATTATTTATTGGATAATAATTCAAGTGCTTATTATGCAAACCAGATTGATGCGTTTCCGTAATAAGCAGACAGTGTACGTGCGTGTACGCAGTGGTCGCACAACGAGTACAAATTGTTGTACGCGCGCACAAACGAATGTATACGCTACGCGGATTACAGTCTGTCGAGCGATTTTATTTGCATTATTCGCACGGATACAATTACCGGTCACCGCGGTCAGGTGCCGGGTACTTGAAAACAACACGTTTCGAACGATCTGCAACTACAGTCCCACAAGTCCTTTTCGTCGATCGACCTCATCAGTTTACAAATATCACCGAGTCGATCATTCGAGTTTCGCGATCACAAATATTAATGCCGAGTGAAAATGAAAATAAAAATATTACACATATTTTATTCGTCTTTACATGTGTTTACTAGATGAATTACCCCGAGGTAAAATATCTGTGAATACACCTTCCCGCAACCGTATTCGACCACGTTCCATTCCCGTCCGTATATCTTGCCGATTTTTTTTCAAAATGATCCACGTTTTATGTTTATATATCAATCGCTTTAAACATTCACTGGCCAACGTTAAAGTTTAAAGTAACTAATGGCAACCCTATACAAACAAACAAATATTCGAAATTTCCCTTATCCAAAAATAAATCCCTATGTGAGCCAAACTTTAAAATCAAAGAATAAAAGAAGAAAAAGACAGCCCATGTGTACATCTCTTTATATATTTTGAAATTTGAATGATAGTTCTTCCATTCGGCTTCGTTTGAGTTTTGACTTTATGAATTATTTATTAAGATATTTTTAATGAAATAAAAAATAAGAAAGAAACTTAAGGACAGTCCAAAAATTTATGGGTAGTATTCATAAACTTTTATTGTGCATTGTCAATATAAAATGAATTATATATTAGATAATAATTAAATTACAGCATATAATATAAGATAGTAAATAAATAAAATAAATCAATTTAAACTAAACATATTTTAGACTTATGAGATCAATACAATAGCTTGTTTCTATAGATTTTATAGACTGAAATAATGTTGATATAATTTATGAAAACAGTTAATTTAAGTCCGTTATCGTGACCGATCGTGAACGTTTCGTAGTATAATTATGAATAAAATAACAAACTATGTTGTGATAATATACGGCGTGAAATACAAAAAATGTAAGAAGAAAAATCTCATAAAAATGGAACACTTAGCTTCAATAATCTTAACACACTGATAATGATTGGATTTATTTTATTTGTAACTGTAATAAATAATAAAGAGTAAAGTGTGTAAAAAGGATTAATAGCGAATGATAAAAATACGGTCAGTTGATTATTTTTTTTATTACTTATAAGCTCGTATTATAATATTACCTTTAGGGATTAATATTATGATTGATCATGTAATCATAATATAAATATTTACATGATTACAAAAAAGGATAAATAACGTAATTAAGTTCAAAAACCAACAGTACCTATGGCTGAAATTGTTTAAACTGTTTAAGTACCTATAGACATAGTTAAAATATACTATAATATATTACTGATATGTGCGTTATCGATGGCACCGAAGTCCTAAACATTTAATCGGGTGAAAAATATTTAAAAAATAACTACAATATCTAAATATCGGTCCCAATGACGTACTGTTGAAGGGGGGGAAGTGGTTTTTATCAAAAAAAAAAATTGATTTTAGGCTTTAATTTTGTAATGAAACTTTGATACTGTTTGGTAGTCATACTTAGGTTCAATATAAAACGGCTCTATCCTATATTTTCAAAAAATTTCAGGCTATTTATCCAATAAATAAATAAATATCTTTAAATATTATCTTATAAGCTCGTAAAATTATCATTTTACAACGACAAACATGATACGATTATAATTATACATGGTTCCTTCCCCGAGAAAATATTAACTTATATTTCGTGATGACATCGTTGACACCGATTGTATTCGAATCTATAGCTGTTGTTTAATGCGTTCATTGGTCGGCATACTCGCGTTGTCTTTTCTGATTTGGTATAATATAACGTATTGCAAACAAAACAAGTAAAATTAGTTAATATTCGAAGTGTAAGCATTTACTATTGCACGATCTTTAAATAATTTAAAATTAAACAAAAATAATGGATAATAAAATAAAAACAAATTAAATTAAAAAAATAGTAAATAGTTAATACTCTTATATTAATATATCAATTATATAAATTATTATTTAATAATACTCCAGATAAGCATTTATTTATTTCTATACATAAACTATTTTAAACTATTTGTTCATTCATTAATACATTGAAATAATAAAGTTGATTCAAATTATAACGGGACGGTATAATTGTTTTCAAGGTATTTATGTAGAACAGATATCTTTGTCTATAAAGATTTAACGACTGAGGGATAACAGTGCAAGTCGAGTTTCTACCTTATTTTTATAATAATATTATCATTGATTCTGATTTATAATAAGCGTAGGCGTAAACAAATAAGACGTAGAGCATTGAGAAGCACTTAAATTTTCATCGAAAACAATTACATTTTAGGTTTGTTCGATGTGAATTTTAGTAGAGAATGTTTGTTTCTCTTAAGAATGCATACATAAAGAATGTTATCAAGTACAGGAATGGATTGTCATATCTAAAATTTTAAAATCCTTAAAAGTAAAATAAAACTATAATAATATACATCATGCACGTATTAATGATTAATTTCTACAGGAGTCTTTTAGAAAGTAATAAATAATAATTATTACCTATTTCAATCACGAAAAAAAAAATATTACGATTTGTTTAAAATTCTGGTCGCCAGAGGAACATTTGTCAGTAGCATTAACATATAACATGTATACATATACGTATTATATAGTATATGATTATAAAATACTCTACACATTAAATAACGTTTAAAAACTGGTACAACTACTTATATATACATTTATACAATATATATTGGTGAAGAATATCTATGAATTAATTATCATATAGTAACACAAAAACACACACACACACACACACACACACACACACACACACACACACACATATACATACTGCGGCAACAACATATTTCGGATAATACCGTGAAAAATATTATAATAATGCATTAGCAATACCTACGTAAAAACAATAAAAATAAGGTTGTTATAGACAAAAATAAATATGATATTTTCTGAACCACTCAAGTATTTTATATATGATATATTCTAATATTTTATGTATAAAGACGATTTTACAATACAATTTATTTGTAAGTGAATCGTGTCCGATCGGATGCGTTTTATGAATTTGTCGAATTCGCCTGGGCGTGTTACATATAATACATGTTCAGCAGTAAACAAGCACTTTATGATGTAATCACTGTTTAAAGAACAGACAATGCGACGGCGGATATATGACTATATGGCATTTCTATAATCGATTTCTAGCAAACGTGTAAAAGCATCTGTAATTATTTTACTAGTTGCTTTCAGTGGCGTCCCAGGAACCTTTTATTTCTTAGGGGGAAGAGGGCTAACTTCATACATGTATTCACATTTATGTACTTTCTAAGCATAATATTGATAATAAATAACAAATATTCGAAGAAAAAAAGGCCACTACTTTAAGGTACCTTGACGGCAATAGCCCCCCTCCCCCCAAAGACACCACTGGTTTCTTTTAAGTTTGTTTTCGGAAATATTTTTCGTTGACCTGCTCACACAGGCGACGACAACGCGACTGTTTTGACTACTACATTTTCCACTCTAACGATAATATAATGATCTACACTACTAGAAATAATCCAATGACCCTATGCATTACACGTGTATATTATGGGTACATGTACATACTTATTATATCATATCTACTACGAGAAAACGTTTAATAGTTATTTAAAGTCATTTGTTGCACTTTGTGCACCACTCATTTAACGATAGACTGTACTTATAGTTGTGCATTTTTATATTTATTTTAACAATAATTGTGATAAAATTTTTTTTGTTCTTCAGACATTCGTTTTTGACGGTTGACAGTTCAAGCAACGTTAGCGTAAATCCATCGGCGTGAAATACGGTAAGTTCAGTCTGTTATAATGATAATAATTTTTTATGATTTTCATTACAATTCCGAATTAATAGCCACTGCACGCGCGCGTGTAATACATTCATACGTACGTGATCATTCGTACATTAATACTCGATGTTGCGGTGGTCGACTTGTTGGTAAACGCGAGCTTAGTCCTCCATCATATTTTTATAGTCCCGTTCAATTAAAAATAATGAATCTCAGAATTTTGAAATTGAGATAAAATCTAATCATCCCTATGTCTATAATCTAAATACACGAAATAATTCTAGAGCTTGACAATTCTTGTTATTTAGTGTAACATAGATTTCGATTTACTCGGGAATATCCAAAATAAAAAATTAGTCTACTAAATCACGCTTTTTCATTGTCTTAATAAGAATTGAACTAAAACTGTAGCAAGAAGCAAATTTTATTTGTATATTAATTAGTAGATGGAGGTGTGAGAGCGTACTCAAAGCTCCCTTTCTAAAATATAGGCTCTATGAATTGCGCGTAACTATTTGCGCCTATGACAATGCATTATTCAACGCGAAACAATGCCGGTAAGTGTAATACATATATCAGAAGTGATAAAAAACACCATTTCAAAAGTGAATCCCAACGCCATAATATATGATGTCTATATAATTAAAAAAAAAAAAAAAAACGATAATAAGGATTGATAGTGGCAGTTCGTTTAGCAATGAAGCCCGCGGTCACACACACACACACAAATGCGTACACACAAGTGTACTTATGTTCATTAAACATACACAAATATCGTTTTAATAAACTAAACTTTAAGCACTTTTGCTTCACATTAGTGTACCACTTTTCTTCCGTATCGTATGCGTTTTGTTATGTTAATATAAATCGCACGTCGCTATCGCATAAACTAGCCGGGTGTTTATTGACAACCCAACATCCGTCCACGTAAAAAACATGTCTAGGACATTGTCGTAACAATGACACACGTTACCCTAAACAGCACTCCTATAGGCAACTGAACCCCAAAATGAGCACACATAATGCTACTTCAATAATTACACCATATTCTTAAAACGATTGTTTAAAGGAAGACAGACTGCGAAAATTCTTGAAATCAGCTTACAGGTCTAGTTTGTTTATCTACTGCATAAAACATTTGTTGTATTAGCTCGCCGTGATCACGAAATGGCATGGTGCAGTCGCAGTTGGTGTCAATCACTGCGCGTTTGAACATATAAGTGCTGATAGTGTACCTGCAGAATGTTTGCAAAAATGGCTGTGCATTTCCAAGAGAAAAGTTTCCACGCAACTCCAAGCATCCTATATATGCACGGCACGGTAGTCGTGATTTTAGCAAAATTTCAGGGGTTGCAGGATTTACCCCAAACTTTGTAGAAAAATAATCTTAATTAAATCTTTATAATATTGTTAAAAATTACGAATTTTTGGTTTATTTATTACTAAAATCAAACGTGACATTACATATATTTTTATTGAACTTTTATAGTATTTTATCCATACTTTAAAGATACAGCACTTTATAACCGTAACTTTTTCAAAATCGTTAACGAAAAACCACACACTTGAATACATCAGGGGTCTAAAATCAATACATTACTTTTGCGACTTTTCCTCATATGATGTCACTGGCATTGTGTGTGCACATACATTTTCGTACACATCAATCGTATACTTAGATGTAAGACCCGGACCGTAACCGTTTCCGGAAAAATGAATCTAATACGCTTAGGGTTCACAAATGTTATTCGGTAAACCTTTAACCGTAACAAACGCAACAGGTCAGCGACGAATTTTGATACATCATATATTACTACAGCCACGGTCGAATACAACTACTGTCACCACCCCCAAAACCGGTAGTTCATGATACACCCATTTTTTATAGGGAACGAGAGAGAAAGGAACAAAATAAATTCTAAATAATGTACTAATAATTTTTTTTATTTTTCAACAATTTTGGTGTAAATTATATTTTATATAAAACCGATTTAAAAAAAAATTATACAATTTCTCGATCGGGTTAGGTTAGGAATGGAATAAGTGGTACATTTTTCTGGTTTTTTTTTTTTTTTTACTTTTCAGCAGTATTTTGCAATTTACATATTAAGATTGCAAATCTTAACAGTATATTAGTAAGATATACTGTTTGTTTCTTAAATTTCAAATGATTTTAGTGATTGGAACAATCCTTTTAGTCGAAATCTGATAATGTTTGGTAATGTTTAAATATGATAATGATGAATGCACTATACTTATGTGCTTATATTTATATTTTTAAATCTATTCCGCATTGCTAACACTTCGATGCGCACGACTATGATCGGAATCGTCTTGATATTATTTTTCTTCTGACCCGACAACCGCACGTATCGATCTGTTATAATATAGTTTTAATAATATTGAACTAGGTATATTATATACGTAAAGCGTTCATTATCCGATCTAACGGTATTGAATATATCTTTTTGTTATTCTTATCACGTGCAGACGTATAATAAGTTTACACGAACTCTATGCATATTATTGTGTACGGACAACAGTATTCCGTCTCGATCAGGCCCATGTTTAAAAATTTGATACCACCGGCTATATAATTTATACCCCCCCCCCCAAAAAAAAAAAAAAAAAGATAATAATAATAACATAACACTTATTATTTTGTCCATAATCGAGATTCTTTAATATTAAAATATAAATTATAAATGAAAATCGTTTAATACTTTTTTTAATTTACAAATTATAACATAATAAAACATACCTACTTTTTTCTTTTTTTTATTGTTTTATTTTTTTTTTCATTAGGTAAATCATTTTTAAAATTAGTTTTGCAAAAAGTTTTTGCCATCCCTTAGACTTCACGCCCCCGGTCATGTGCCTACCCGTGCCACCCCCCTAAATACAGGCCTGGTCTCGGTTCAATTTAATATAAAATTTAAATCATTTAGTCAATAATATATGTAGGGAAAATTGCGTTTTTTCCACTCATCGGTTTTTAGATACGTTATTGAATTTAGATACGAAATAATGTTTTCTTTTGAACTTATGATTTATTAAAAATCATAAGACGCTGTTGAAATCTTAAAGAACATCTAAATATATGTTCTATACATTATATACGCAGTGCATCGCGTTCCACATTTATTAGTTACTGACTCGTGAACATTTACAATAGAATCGTATAACCGCTTTACGATTTATCAGGTTCATCCCCTGATTGACAACATTTTGTTCGCCTTAGGGGAAAAACTAATCTATACCAGTGCATTTCTTGATGTTTCTCAAGCAGTTGACAGAGATTAATACTAAAATCTACTTTACAAATTAAAACTTTTCCTTCTCTCCTCCAACTGAAATAAAAAAAAAAATCAATAAATAAAAAGCAGGTGTACTCCAATGTGCAATTATTGCTTCCTTACTCTTAAACTTTTTTTATCTCTAACCACACGACTTCAATCATATTCTATTTGGTCAATTTTTCGACAAACAGCGGAGTTTCTGACCAAACCTCTTTTCATATCTAAAAACTTTTGAAACCATCTCGAAACATCGTTGAAAACATTGGGATTCCAGGGGCACCTAACCCTATTGTTTGATGTAGCAGCCTAACATAACCTGCTTCACCTAAAAATTAAGGGGTGAGTGGGTACTATTACATATAAGTTAAAATAAAAAATTTGAGACATATTAATTATTATTATTGTTAAAATTAACAATGATAATATTGTGTTATTTGTGTTTCATACTAATGTTGTGCTATTATTTGTATAATACATATAATATTAATAAATAATGAAATAAAAAATAAAAAATAATTTACATTTTGAGTTTTTCGGAGGGTGGTTATTTTGCTATACCTGAAAAAATACGTTTGGGGCGTCAATATTCTCATCGGTCATCAACTTACCAAAAACCGATCACCAAACGACAGTTTCCAACTCCTTCAACCATTTCTAACATCTTAACACATGAAACTCCATAACAAACTCTTTGATCTAAAAGTTCTATATAGTACTGAAATAACCAAAATCCATAAAAAACGATTTAACAGTCACTTATCCCATCACAAAAATCCTTTAATATCTAAACTATTATCTATCACTATTCCAGACAATTTAAAAAAAGAAAAGATTTAAAAGGCAATGGGGTCGTGAATTGTTAAATTAACCAATTAAATGTACATCATGTCGAAATGTCTTCAATAAGAGGCATTTACAATCCATCGTATATGTCTATTATTTTTTTTTCTATTATTATTCAATTATTTTTATTATTCTGTTGCGTAACAGATAAAATAAAAAACTACAGAAAAACAAAAAAAATACCTCAACCAAGTTTTTCAATATTAATATCTATCTTTAAAATATACGAAACAATATGACTCATATTTATTTGGCATTTTTTTTTTTTTTTTAGAATATTTTTGTTATTTAAAATCATTTTTTCTAATTTTAGGACGTTATTAAATATTTCCCATAAAATATTGTAGCTTTAAAAATTTAATCATTCCGTCGTTTTAGCCTATACAAAAAATGAACATAGTTCGACGGTAGATATATATTTGGAATTTAATGCGTATAACACATAGTAATATATTTTCGTCCGAGTACGGCATGCATGTAAAACACGCGACTCACGGCTAATTTTTTTGTGGCCCGCGGCTATTAATATTAATGGACAAAATATAAAATGAATATTAAAAAAAATCATTAAATATTAATTTTGGTGTTGCAGCTATTTAAAATTCTTAGAGAATGATATGTTTGGTATGTCTTATCTTATGATAAACTGTACCTAATCGAATAAGTTTTATTAATGGTTTGATACGTATATATAATAATATAAAATATTTGACATGCCTGGTGTACGGGATCATAGAAATATAATTTCAATAAAACTGTCAATGTTCGATTAATATCAACTTACGTATTGTAGTAAAATTCAATATTTTAACGGACATCTATATTTTAACATCAAAGACGTGTATAAGAAATTCATCG